TGAAAAGTGGTGAAACCCCCCCCCCCCCCCCCCCATGAAAGAAGAAGAGTCACTATCTTGTGGTGCATCTTTAGGGCACCTTCAGGAGTAACATGGATGGTAGCTCACAACTGTCAACGGTTGAAGCCCCCCGTGAAAGAAGACGAGTCACCAGCACTCTAATGGAAGTACAAGATCTACGTTATTTTATTCCCATTGTGTGCCAGTAGTTAGTTTAAGACAACATTTTGGGGTCTCGCAGGGTCCCTCCCTCAAAGGCAATATAGTTACTTCCATTGGAGTATTTCCATTGGAGTGCTGGTGACTCTCCTTGCTATGAGGTGCTCCATGCCGCCATCCATTGCTGTCACTACAAGCACCATCAAGCTACATTGGTCTCCACACAGTGCGGAGTGCAACGTAGAACTGTATATCTTTAAGGCTGAAGCCCCCTTCAGATATTTGCAGACCGCTGCAGAACCACTCAAACGCGTATCACGTCAAGGCAGCTCATTCGTTTTGAGTTGGCTGCCAATCCATGGCAACAGCCTGAAAAAAATGTGTATGATCTATAGTGCACCACAACAGCACATGTGCGCCTCAGAACAGGTACGTTGCATGCTAGCGTGCCACGGCAAATGAAGGGCAGCGCAACGTCAAACTGAACGTTCATTAACAGGTTTTGCAGCAAGACGTGAGCTTTAAAGAAATCAGTATCTTGCTGCACTCCTTACCGGAACAGTACATATCCTGAATGTACACTGAGTGGCCAGATTATTATGACCACGCCATCAGTACTTCGTTGGGCCACCTTTTGCCTTCAATACTGCGGCGATTCTTCTTGGCATTGACTCCACGAGATGGTGAAAGGTGATGCGAGGAATCTGACACGGCACTGTGGCCCTTCTGTTGTCTTGTACCAGTCTTGCCCCTCCCCCGTTCTGCTCTAACATTGACTAGTCGCTGACGGCCACAATTCCCACGTTCAGACCCAGATTTTCGGCTGACAGTCCGCTCTTTAAACACTTTAACAATGAGCTGCTCTTGAACATTTAACGAATTCTGCTGTTTTGCTGATACTCGCTCCATGGCTCCGAGCGCCAACAATCATCCCGCGTTCAACGGCTGTTACATCGCGTTGTTTCCCCGAATCTTCAGAAACAAATCACTTCTACTGTCGTGGTAACCAACCCGCTTCCCTATTTATAATGGTCTGGCCCTCTAGCAACTTCAGCGCCAAATTATAGCTAATGTGCCTCCAAACGTCAGGTGGTCATAATAATCCGGCCACTCGGTGTATATAATAATCCGGCCACTCGGTGTATATAATAATCCGGCCACTCGGTGTATATAATAATCCGGCCACTCGGTGTATATAATAATCCGGCCACTCAGTGTATATAATAATCCGGCCACTCAGTGTATATAATAATCCGGCCACTCGGTGTATATAATAATCCGGCCACTCGGTGTATATAATAATCCGGCCACTCGGTGTATATAATAATCCGGCCACTCGGTGTATATAATAATCCGGCCACTCGGTGTATATAATAATCCGGCCACTCGGTGTATATAATAATCCGGCCACTCGGTGTATATAATAATCCGGCCACTCGGTGTATATAATAATCCGGCCACTCGGTGTATATAATAATCCGGCCACTCGGTGTATATAATAATCCGGCCACTCGGTGTATATAATAATCCGGCCACTCGGTGTATATAATAATCCGGCCACTCGGTGTATATAATAATCCGGCCACTCGGTGTATATAATAATCCGGCCACTCGGTGTATATAATAATCCGGCCACTCGGTGTATATAATAATCCGGCCACTCGG